TCCACAGGCACCGAGGCCGGGGAGGGCTGTGGGGTCCCTGGGGAGATGGCGCGGGGCTGGCCGGGGTTTGTTTTGTCGGCTTTTCTTCGGTTTTCTGTCTCTGGTCCTGCCCAGGGTGGGTAGAGTGGGAATGGCTCTCAGGCAGTGCCAGTTCCCCTTTGTGGGCAGCGTTGCTGCCAGCGACGCGCAGGGCTTGTCCGAAAGAAGTCACTCCCTTGCCGGAACCGTGCCCCACAGCCAGCCCTGGCCTTTCCTGTGCCCAGAAATGCAGCTTTTTGAGGCCAGGTCTCTCCACTGAATGAACACGGCACCTTCCCCCCCCCGATTTCAGCAGAGCTGGTGGTGTCTGAGGGTCTTCTTCCTAAAAACAGCAACTTCTGCATGAGTGGAACAGAGAAACGCCCGGGTTCAGGGGTCAGCTTGGTGCTTGGAGCACCCCCCCGCCGCACCTCTGCATCCCCCCGTTGTGGCACCCTTCCCCGCTCCCGGGGAGACCAGGCGAGCATCGCCTCCACCTTCCCTCTCTCGCCCACCTCCCAGCCCCATTGCCTACCCTGACAGCGCAGGGTGGGGGGGCACTTGCTGCTCAGGGGGGGCACAAGACGGGGCGTTGCTTGCTCAGAGCAGCACAGCCTGCAGCAGCCGTGGGCTCAACTGAGCTGCAACCCCCCCCACGGGCACCGCTGTGGTTAACCTGCGGCACGCTGCACCGGCCTGGCCCCAGCGCTCGCGCCAGCTCCGGTCAGGGGGTTACGGCCGCATCTCCAGGCTGTGGGACGTATTTTTGCATCGTTTCTTCCCCAACTCCACATTCCCCCTGCCCTGGCACCCTCCCTCCAGGGCAGCTCCTTGCTGGGGCATCTCCAGCAGCCTGGGATGAAGGCATTAGGGTGCCCTCACACCTTTATTGCAGCACGAGGTGCCTGCAAAGCAGCTGCAAGCAATAATCTGTTTCTTGCAGGCTGTTTAGTACCTGGAATGGTAGGAAGGGCTCCCCTTGTAAGGACCTGCAGGTCCCAGGTGTGAGCCACTGGGGTGGGAACAGATAAATAGCGGCTGCTCCCAAGCATGCTCCTTCTTTTCCTCATGGGAGGGTGTTTCTGCCTTTACTTGCTCTGGCCTCTCTTGTTCCTAGATCTGCTGAGTGTAGGGGTGTCCTCTCTGCGCCCCAGGGTCGGGTAAGGGTGGGCATCCTCATGCCCACGGCTTTGCAAAGACAAGGTTGAAGCTGGAGCTGCCAGGGGTCTCCTGGCCGTACCAGGAGGTGGTAAAGCTGGTCCTCCAAGCCCGGCTCC